GTAATAGATCTTGCAAATCCAGCTCAAGACCTGCGTATTTTGCGTAATCTGAAGAGGATCCACCTTCAAGCATTACTGGTGGGTGACATACTTGCAGCCTTCCCTTTGACTGCTAAGATGGTACAGCTAAATCTGCAGGGGAAGATGTGCTCGGCCTTCCTTGCTCGGGAAAGTGAGCGCTCTGCAGTCTGCCTACCAATACAGAGCAAAACAAAACCTGGAGCGGAGGCTGGCTCGCAGGCATGCACATTATCATCCCTCTAAACTGATAACGGCAGACGGCAGTATATGAATGAAGGTGCCATGTATGCAGCGATTATGCAATATGTATCCGCACCATCCAGTTCGCATTAGCATCAGTACGAGCATCTTATCAGGCTAGGCTGCTTCGCAAATGAATGCTGCCAAGCTGCTGGAATTATCTGCACAGTCAGATACTCATTTTTAGCTTTTTCATCATGGCTGAAGACAGCTCCACTTGATCTCAGCAAAGTTATTTTAAAATCTGAGAGTTTGCCAATGTTTCTTTTTAAAGGATCACATCTAGTGTGACTCATTACTCCTGGATTTCATTTGTCAGAGCAGCCAAGTAGTCTAGCTTTTACATTCCCAATGGCCATTATCTCTGTTTGTTAACAGCTAAATGGCTGATGCACGGATACACATTATTCCTGTGTTTTCTTGCAGAGAGAGAGCTTTTGCTGGAAACAAAACATTAAAACAAGAAACTACAAGGTACGATAATCTATAGATTCTAGAGGGAAAAAAAATGGTTATTGACTGGAAATATGTATATATGGGATAGCTTACCAAATATTAGCTCTAGGGAGTTGATTCATTGGATTTCTTTCCTTTCAGATTATACATTGCATGTGCTGAAATACACAGCAGCTTTGTGCTTCTGATGCTATATGTTAAACAATAATTTCTAGCAGAAATCAATACATTAATTCCATATACGGCAATCGGTTTCCACAGTATGTTCGTTATTCATCAAACTAGTGCTAGAATCTGCCTAAGAGTAAGTACGTGAATGATCCTGTGTATATTCAGCCATCCATTTAAGCACGTGAAGATGGTTCCACTGGCCACTGGATAAACCTGATTTTAGGCGCATACTTCAGTGAGTTAGGGTCTGAATCATTGTAAAGTTGAACTGAAGAATCCATTTGATTAGCTGATGTGGAGCCTGAACCATGTAATTATAAGATCACGCACAGCTGGGGTGGAATTCATTAGCCGACGCATTAGAGTTACCTTCCGATAAGCACAAAGAGGGAAAATAATTGTTGCTCCATACAATAGGTGTACTACAGTTTGTGCATTCCACGTCTGCAGTACGGTGCTGCAGCCACTTGTTTTCTGATTAGCAGTGAATCACGATGATGGTGATGATGATACACAGTTGCTCAAAACAATTTCATGTGATAATTAGCTCAGCAGCGAAAATTCCTACCACTAGTTCAAGAAGTCAAAGCAAATGTAATCCAAAATCTTTCAAGCCATTAAAACTTCACATTTATAAAAAGATCCCCTCTAAACTGCACCATGATAGGGACTAGCATCAGCAGTAAAAAAGATATAAACATTAAAATCATTGCTGTGACCTTTAGACCATTAAATCAATTTTTTTTTATAAGCAATGTATCTTGAGTAATGCTTGCTACTAGTTGTAGATGTATTCATGTGAATGATGCTGGGCTAATTTTGAGTTGGTAGATGTAATATGGGTAAAATTTCATTATAAAAACCAAACGGGAACATCTTCTAAGGTATGGAAGTCAGTGCTGGGAGACAGCAATTACAGATGCATGTGCAACTACATCTGCAGCGCAGCTGTTGAGTGGGGTTTGCAATGAACCAGGCAAGCAGAAATTCCATTGTAGTATGGCAATGAATTAAAGTAATACTATTGCCATAAATGCGCATGGCCCAGCCACAGAAAACCATAATTTCTTCTTTGAAGATGTTACATTCTGAGATATAATTGTGTAGTTGGAAGGAAGAGCAAATAAAAGACCAGTAATATTAGCTGGTTGGTTAAATAAATAACATCTCTATTTGTGATGACAATTAAGTATTTTGACCACGGGTTTTTATCACTATTTGAAAAGATTTCTTGAGCTTCACCTGTGATAAAGAATTGTATTTTTTTTAAAAGAAGAATGCTACTGTGTACTGTGTGCAATTAAACTGTTTCTCTGCTCATTATACAAACATGTAATTAGAACACTAACACTTGGAATAATTCAAACAACAGTTGTACGTCCCTTCCAACTTTAGATATTCTATGATTCTCTGATTCTCTGAACAGTTGTATGTCAAGAGCCATTCTGTATGATTTGGGAGTCAGAGGAATTTGTGCATTTCAAATGCCAAAAAAAGGTCATGTGTATCAACATGCCAGCACATCTATAACACTGAGAGCGCACTTTTCAGATGATCTGTGAGCATGGGACTTTCTGCTCCCCCTTGCATCCAAGCATGCCAGTAAACCTCTGGACTTCGGGAATCACCTGCCCTCTTCGGGTGTATTGCAAACCGTTATTTGAACTGAGTGTGTATCTGGCATTGGGAGGGCCCTGGCTCTGGCCCTGAACAGGCATGTCTGTTTTAATATGTCTCCAGTTTAGCTGAGACTTTGTTAGATGTCTGGGTACCATTTCACATCAGGTCCTCATAGTAAGGAGGAGAAGAGAGCTTAAAGCCTCTTTATTCCCCCAGTAATCCCAGCCTGGTGTATATGTTCCCACCAAGGTCAGTTCTCCCTACAAACAGGCTGATATGGTGTTTCAGCATATCATTTCTAGAGAGAGCAGCTGATAAATTAATTTCTAATACGTCATGTCGGTGTTGCAGGTGACAGTCCAAGCTGATGGAGGGGCAGCATGGCACTAGCATTCAGGGGCTGTGAATCCTCTGCCTGCCTACAGTGTATTTGTTTCTGCTGAGTGGCCTTGAGCATATCATTTGTCCTGTTATAATATGAAGTAAATGATTCAGACTTCAATTTAAAACACTTCAGAATCTATGCTTGAAAAGCTCTATATGAGAGCCAGCTATTATTAAAAGCAGTGCTAGGATCTGCGCTGGGTCTTCCCTGTTTCTACGTCTATTGTTCTTTATCTTCATCTCTCCTTTTGTCTTCATTCCTTTGCCTCCCACAGACCGCTTCCCATAATCAACCTTCATGAGACCGCACTCAAAATAGACCCCTTCAGTAGCTTGAAGTAACTACTTCAGTTTAAGACAAGTAAAGAGACAGAGAACAAGTCAATAAACAAACTGATGGAGATTTTTCCCAGTAATCCAAGCCAATCATATATATTTACATATAATCCTTGTGCCCCCCCGCTTCCTGCAGACCTTCCTTTTTTCTTCTTTGTAATTTTGCTGTTGTTCTTACTTGACACGCTACACCTGCTTTAGTCCCAATGCCCTTAGAGGCAAGGGCTGTATCTTTTTTCTCTATTGTGCCTGCCATATAAGTGTAGGAATGAACATTACATTTGAAATATTTTCCAAAGAACACTTTGATGATTTACTGTTCTGCATCTTTGTAAACACTTTGTTTTCTCCCCTGCAGGGAATCAGCTGCCTCTTTTGGATCTTTTGTCATTGATTCTTTCTGAGTGTTCCTGTTTTCTCTGTCGCAAAGATGAGACGGGTGCCTTTAAAAGCATTTGCTTCACTCTCATTTATTTCTTGCAAAGTCATAGCACCCCAGGGCTGATTATTGCTGCCTTTTGCAAACAGTTGCTCCCACCACTTGGGGCTACTGCTGATTTCTTCCTCCTCTCTCTCTGAAGAGAGTGGGTTTTCAGTTGAGAACTGTACCTGGTTTCTGAACTAACCCAAAGGCTGTATCTGCAACCGCACAAGAAGGATCAAGGGGCTGTGTGGCACCATGCCAAATCTCTGACAGTGGCTGGAAAACAACCCAAAGGAGCCTGAGAGCTGGCTAAGACCAGGGTGGCATGTCCCTGGGATGCCTCTGTGGGTCAGGAAGTCCTGAACCACACTGCTGTGTTTATCAGGCCACAGTAGGTATTTGCTCTATGAGTTTCTCTAGCTGTTTCTCGAACCCATTTATAATTTTGGCTTCCAAAGCATCCTGTGGCAATGGTATTTCAAGTTATGGATTATGTGAAGAAGTGCTTTTTGTGTAAAGCCTGCAGTCTGATAGTTTCATTTGGTGCCTCCATGTTCTTGTCTTATGAGATATAATAGCCATCATTCCCTTCCTTCCTCCATGCCATTCATCATTTTATAAACCACAAACTCTATTTTTTCTGTGCTGAAAAGTGCTATTCTGTTTAATATCTCTTTGGACAGAACCCATTTCAAACCTCTGATCTTCCTTGCTGCCCTTCATTGTACCTTCTTCTTTCTGAACCGGGGTGGCCACAATCATCCTGGCATCTAAAACTAGGATTTTGTCTAGTGATACAATGATGTTTTCTCCCCCCTCCACTTCTCCTGGCCTCACTAATATGCTATTAATGTATTTTGTATTCCTAATATACTGGGGGAGTGGGAGGGAGGCTGGCTGCCATTAACCTCAGAACTAACATTTACAAAGGAGTATCCACAAAGACTCCTGCAGTCCAAGAAGTCATCATTATTAAATAGCATAGTTTACCTGTAATTCTGTTGGTAGAATCATAGAGTGGTTTGGGATGGAAGGGACCTTAAAGATCATCCAGTTCCAACCCCCCTGCCATGGACAGGGACATATTCCACTAGACCAGGTTGCTCAAAGCCCCATCCAACTTGGCCTTGAACACTCCTATGGCGGAGGCGTCCACAGCTTCTCTGGGCAACCTGTTCCTGTGCCTCACCACCCTCACAGTAAAGAATTTCTTCCTTATATCTAATCTAAATCTACCCTCTTTCAGTTTAAAACAGTTACCCCTTGTCCTATCACTAGACTCCCTGATAAAGAGTCCCTCCCCATCTATCCTGTAGGCCTCCTTTAAGTACTGGAAGGCTGCTATAAATAAATTGTTCCTCTCCACAGAAATCTTTAGTAAAAGGCTAAAGATTTACGTGATCTGAAGAGAAAACAGTTCACTTATGCCATCACTTCTGGATTGCTCTTACTGAGAGTGTGGCAGCTTCTGATCCTTTAGATTGAAGTGTTAAAAGCACAGATTCAGATACAAATAGTAATAGAAATGACTGTGTTGGTCTTTATGAAGCATATTTATATAAAGATCATGAAGAGTAGGAGCTTTACTATGTCATTTAGCCAGAAGGCACTAGGTAGTCAACCTACAGAGTGTGTTTCAGTTCATTGTCCTTCCTGTAGGCTCTTATTTGATCCACAGAAGTTGGTCTTTCCCATTTCTCTTTCCTTTCTCCATGTTTTCTTTTGAGTCTTAGTTTCTAATGCAAACAAAAGTTCGAAGTAAAGTTCAACTCACAGTGTTGAATTAGCTTTCTGGTCAGCCACAGGAAACCCTGCCAAGCCAACCTCGGATGCTGGACCTGTCTGGGAAGACCCACCTGGTTGTTGCAGTTCATCTGTGAGCCTTCAGTTTTGCCTTGGGATATCTGTCTGCAAAAAAAGGACAGAAGGAGGAGAGAGTACATGATAAATCCTTCAATATGTAAAAGATTAAAACAGAAAAATACATCAACTGTTTCCTCTCAACCATGTGTGGCCATTAGCTTCATTGTTTTAAAAGTTATTAAAAGATCTAGCTATTAGTTCAGGGAAAGTCTGAAATAAACTACCGAGGAAACTGGTGGAATCTTTCCTTGGGGAATTACTATGAAACAGAAATACCTCTCAAGGTGATTTATCCTACCTCACTGCAAAGCAATAAACTGGACACTAGGAGGTCCCTCTCTGCTCTGTCTTGCCTTGAAATAGTAATTGGCGTTGAAGACGCTGCATCACCAGGCCATAGCTCCCGACCACATAGTATATGACTGTAATTGGTTCAACAATACCAGAAAAACATTTCTGCTCATATTTTTAAAGAGGCAGGCTTCAGAAATCTGTCGGTGAAATAAAGGCTGAAAGAGAGCATTCCATCTGGTCTAACCTTTATTCCCGTATGTCAGTCCCTGTGAAATGTTTTATGTATGTATTCTTTGGAAATCATCTAGCAGAAACAGCTGTGTGTGCTGCCCACCTGCTAAAGCCTACAATCTAGTGTTATTTCAATTAGATTTGATTGCAGGAAAAGTTTATGAAACAGCTATCAATGATTTCATGCCATCTGGCTTCCGCTTTTCTCCTGTTTAGAGAAACCCTGTGTTTACACTGATTGACCTTCTATATATACAAGCGTGATTGAGTTTTATTATTCTTTTTATTTGTCTGATAGCAGTGTGCTTGGTGCTGTACAAACTTACAATGGAAGAGAAGCTGTCAAAGATTTCAAGCTGTGAACTTCAGCTCAAATACACATGAGGCTTCAGCTGAGAATAGAGCAGAAGGGAAACTGGATTTTAAAAATCCCGGTTTATTAATTAGGATATAAAGTTTCCACTGAGAGTAAAACATACTTTATCTTGGTTTTAGCCATGTAAAAACCATGTCCATGAGCAAGACAGTACTCCGGTTCCCTTCCAGAGTCAGCAGAACGAGACAGAAACTTTATGAGGAGTGGGTTCAAGTCAAAGTCATGTCTCGGGTGGGGTGCATCGCCTCTAGAGACACTTCCTTTTCTCCGTTCATCAGCACGGGAGCTTGGGCACCCAGTCTAGGCTGGGCTTACCTTCTCAACTGCTAAAATCAGAGGAGATGAGTCATCCCTTGAATACTGGCTTCCTTGGCTACTTCTAAACCTCCCAAATTACAGAAATGTTCTCTTTGGTTAAGAAATGCTCTCCCATGAGCTATTTTTGCTTTAGTACCATATAGAATTTTGCTTTCAGGTACAATATGAACACAAGTCTTTCAAAATGCTAACTTTATTTTTCCTTCTTCCCCCAAATTGTTGGTGTTTCTGTTGTCTGTGAGGATTTGGTACGTAAAAGTCAATCTGAAACCGGCTGTCTCATTGGCAGAACAAATTCACCTTCTAGCTTTGACCTGAATTCAGTTGCGGCAAGCTTTAACCCTGGTTAGTTGAACTTGACATTTCAAGCAAAAAGTGAAAGGTTCATCCCTGTTTGGATGAACCAACTCTAGGAAATGACAGTTCAAACTCACACAACCGTCTTGTGTGTTTGTCCCTCCTGAGACGGATCAAATTTAGGTGCATGAGTTGACTTTGGAATTAACACCATCTGCTCACACTGTGCTTGCTTAAGGTTTGCTTGTGCCTCTTGCCTCTTCCTTCCCAGAAGGAAAACATGCTGTGTGGGGCTTGCAGGCGGTCTGGGCATATGTTAGGTTGTCAAACTCAGCGGTCTGGAGGCATCCCTACTCTTTGGAAATACTATAACCTTTTGAAACTCTATTAAAAAAAAGAGGCTATTTTTCCATTAGAGGATCCAGACCTCTTCTAAATTGACATTTCGGTATTTGTTCCATAGTGGTGTGCCTGCCTGGAATACTAGGTACCAACAGAATTTAGACTAAAAGAAATAAGATAAAACTGTAAATGCTCTGGTGAAGTATCTCCCCTTAATTTCTATAGTACCCACTACGATGGGGATTTGCTTCCTGACTTCCATCACTTTGTGCGACTGCAGCGTAGGTTCCTAGTTAAACGAGCGTGCAGGCATATGGTGAAACTTCAGTGGAAATTAGTTGTTTAAACACTTTGCAGACCTGGGCCTGGGCACTTGCAAGCTGAGATCCACTCTATCTTATGTGCCCTGCTGTCTTTTAAGAACAGATTAAGAACCTCAGTTGTCTGTATGCTTCCCTTGCTTTCACTACAGCACCAAGTTTTCAAATGTTTTCCTCAGAAAAGAAAAATCACAGAGGCCAGCTGCAGTGGAAAGCAATGTACTGTTACCATATTTTAAAACCAAATATTTGAAGAAAGTGAACAATTCTCTTCAAACCCAATGAAAGTGGGAGAAAAGGCAAAAATATTTGCTTTTTGCAGATTTCCTTATGAATTATTTATTACTTTACTAAAACAACTTATGCTAATAATATTGTAATAAGCAGTGCAGCTCTGACTCATGTTCGGCTGAAGAGTATGTGAGGAGAACGCAGGAAACTGTGCTGTAGTCTCCCATAATTCTCTGGAACACAAATGGTCTAATTAACCCAGTACTGCTGAATATATATGAATGTAGATGGATATAGAGCATAGCTTTTACATGCTTACAAGCGCATGTTTAAAGAGTAGGTAAACACCAATTTCACCGTTGTTCATCTATATTTTATTATTAATTTCATATTAATTTGCATGGAGAGAGCACCTAGTGGCTAAACTAAACTTTAATCAGTGCCACCAGTAAAAAGACCATGTCCACAAACACCTTTAAATGTAAAAGTAGTGATTCCTACTCTGGAAGACTCAAGATCTGCCTGGATCCAACCTTGGTTTTTTTTCTAAACACATAAGGAACTGAGGCATGGGTACATGTATGCTAACACCATGGATAGACGAGGGCATTTACAACTTCATTCTTTACAGAAGTAGCACTCTGCCTTACTGCAATCAGCTGCATGATTTTTTGTCTACATATACAAGAACATTGAGGCACCTAAACCTGAGACATTTCAAGCCAGGAAATTAGGAAGCTGAAGGCCTTTGCGTATCTGAACCTCAGTGATTCAAAGCTATTTCATGAGGCTGTGGAAGAGCCAGGTCTTGACCCAGACTTTGTAAGTCCCAACTCAGAACTTTGCCCCAGGATGAATCCTCCTGTAATATACAGTGCACTTTGAAACTAACCGCTTAGTGTGTAATCATCACCAGATCAATTCCTTTAGGTTCAGAAATATAAAAAAAAACCCAAATGCTATTTAGGTTCTGAAAATGCTAAGATTTACACATGTGCTTAATGCTAATCCTCTGGGCTCGGTGGGACAGATCACGTGTTTAAAGTAAGGAACATGGCTAAATCTTCACAGGAGTGGGGCTTAATTGTAAAAATTTGAAATCTCTATAATAACTGCCTGCTCTCCAGCTTGATGAATGCAACCTCCTGAAAAAAAGGAAGACACACATCCCCCCAGCACAGAAAACAACAACCCTGATGACAAGCTAATACAAAGAGTCTGAAAGAACCGGGTTATTACCATGAAAAGAAAATCAGCAATACAATTGGCAATTTAAGGAACAGAGACTGTCATTAAATAAATACATGTGCAAACCAGAGGCTAGTATTATTGACAAAAATAGACCTGCAGAATATGGAAGTGATTAAGCTATTTCATTTGAAAACCTTTTCATACTTTGGGTGCATCTGATGTTACATGTGCAGTGTGAATAAGCAGTATTTGTCATATACGTACGCGCCATATATATGTATATGTTGTGTCTGCATGCAGAATAAACTCAAAGTGTAGAAACAGGATTGAAAAAAAAAAAACCAAAAAAACAAACACCAAGGCAAAACTTTTGTTACAAAACCTCAGACCATTATGGTTTTGTTAGAGACTTAAAAATCCTCTCAGATTTGTCAGGAGATGAAAAATGCTTCACGATATATCTTGAATAAATGAAGGTTTATTTATAATTCTCCATTGAACCCATGCAGATCTTTATTTTTCTGCATGGTTTCAGAGTGATACAAAATAACATTTTGTGGCTTGACACTTTCGTCTGTGTTTCACCATAGGAGATTTTTGTAACTCAGGATATATCTTCAGCTGGTGTAAATTTTATTCCAGCTGAGCATCTGGTCCTTATTTTCACTGGTTTTATATTAACCAAATGAATAACAAAACTGTGAAGAAATATGTTCAGAAAATGAACATGGTATTCAAAATATATTGCTGGAGAAGAATTGTTTCAAAACAGATGCTGGATTATACATACAGGAGAGGATTTCAATTGTCCTATTGAATCTCTTCCCTATCTTGTTACATTTGACATAAAAAAATTTAAGAAAATGGGGAAAAATTGAAGAACTTGAGGACTGCAGAGCATGTGGATGGAAGCTGACAGTAAAATTTATATGCAACACAGCGTCTCTAATGTC